AGCGTCGCCCGCTGAAGGTACTTTCCGTGTTCTCTGTTTTACAGGTCTAGCGTCGCCCGCTGAAGGTACTTTCCGTGTTCTCTGTTTTACAGGTCTAGCGTCGCCCGCTGAAGGTACTTTCCGTGTTCTATGTTTTACAGGTCTAGCGTCGCCCGCTGAAGGTACTTTCCGTGTTCTCTGTTTTACAGGTCTAGCGTCGCCCGCTGAAGGTACTTTCCGTGTTCTCTGTTTTACAGGTCTAGCGTCGCCCGTATTCATTTCATGTTCTACTAGATGTGTTATTTCTGTCTGTATCGTCTTTGGTGAAGGAATCAGAATATTTGACAAGTAACTTGGCCACCTTGTTCCGTTGATTATCATCAAGTTGGTGGTGTATTAACAATGCTACTCATGTCAGTGTTCTCAGTAGGTAAGGAGTTGTCTTCTCTTATATTGGCCTCGGCTATCTTTATTCTTCGTATTTAGTTAAAATTGGAGGCTTCACTGACATCTTCACTTGCTGCGAGTGGTATAATCTTCATAATGTTCTGTCTTACCCAAAACTGTACCCTGACTAATAGAAATGAATGTAGAAAATGAGTTCATGACTCTGACTTTGGCAGTTGTATTGGAGATTATCAACAATGCATGGTGTCATTAGGAATGAACACTTTGATATGATGGTCTCTGTTGTTTCGATGATATAATGACTTTGATCATCTCAGTTTTCAAAAAATGTGTCTATAAGACATTCAGGCTGGTACCACATAATGGTCTGTTGCTGTCACTTCCCGCATTGTTTGTATTCCAGCTTGAGTACAAGAAATGGTGTGTCCACCCATGCTTATGATCCCTTTGCTGGACCCAACGGACTGTTCTGTTTAATATCATTACCTAGGAGAGCGTCATCTGTGATGTCCAGAACTATTGCCTCATGTTGTATCTTTAAAGTTCCTAGCTAGATTCGAAATTTCGCTTTACCATATTCTTCAAGATTTGCTGGTATGAGATTACGCCTCTTGACGAGCATTGTCCCAGCAGTGTCAGTGGTGAATACTGTCCTACTACTGTCCCAGCAGTGCCAGTGGTTAATACTGTCCTACATTACGCCTCTTGACGAGCATTGTCCCAGCAGGGTCAGTGGTGAATACTGTCCTCCTACTGTCCCAGCAGTGCCTGTGGTAAATACCGCCCTACTACTGTCCCAGCAGGGTCAGTGGTGAATACTGTCCTTCTACTGTCCCAGCAGTGCCAGTGGTTAATACTGTCCTACATTACGCCTCTTGACGAGCATTGTCCCAGCAGGGTCAGTGGTGAATACTGTCCTCCTACTGTCCCAGCAGTGTCGGGGGCGAATACTGTCCGGCTCCTGTCCCAGCAGTGTCAGTGGTGAATACTGTCCTACTACTGTCCCAGCAGTGCCTGTGGTAAATACTGCCCTACTACTGTCCCAGCAGTGTCAGTGGTGAATACTG